TGGTAACTAGGGCCTTGAGGTTGTCTTGTTCAGGAAACTTCTGGATCAGGATCATTCAGGAAAGTTTGTCTTTGAAGGCACAGTTGACTGAGGGTAAAGTGAAATACCCCATTGAGTAGGATTGGGCACTGACATGACTAAAAAGTAGAAATTGGTGATGACTTTTACTCCTTGAGGAATAGACGAAGATTTGTTGAGTTGAGGAGGAATGGCGACAGCTGCCTCATTGAGCTGTCAGTTTCAATATTAAAATGGTAGCACATGACTGGGGAGTCAAAGGGTCATGGGAAAGCATCGCTTTCACTATCAAGAACTTGCAAACTGAGAAGTTATTAGGAAGTAGATGAAAACAGTTATCTAGATAGGTATAATGAAATTGTGTGTTTTTTTCATAGAATTCCGGATTCTCACATAAGCATGTGCAAAAAGAATATAACATCACAAAAGGAAGTAAGGCAACACAAAGTATGAGGTTTATCAAAGTAACAGGAATGGACACTGAGAAGCTTTTAGGCCACAGATTGAAGGAAACAATATTAATACGATTACAATTAGATAGTCTGTATATGACGGGATCAAGAGTCAGATTGAGCCAATATTGGAGGATTAAATGAGCACACACTGCCAATTGGTAATACAATGAAAGAACTTGTGACTTGAAAGGAAATGTGACTTGAGCAGTAACTGTATTTAATAAAAAAAACTCAATATATTTATACCTTTTTCAATTTTTTTATAAAAATTTACTTACCAATAATTGCATCTTTGATCTTTAGTGCATGGAAAGCTTTCCTTTCATTTCTTTGGCAAAAGAATTTGTACAGTTCTGCTAACCTGTTTGTCATTATTTTACTACATAGTTGTTGTGGAATTACATGCATCTTTCCCCCTAGTGAAGAATGATACAGTACCTGTAGCAATACACAAAATATTAACATTAAAGTATAAATTTCCATATTAGCAAATGTAAATAAAGAAATCAAATTTGAAAATTATCAAAGAAATTCGACAGCACAGACAGTAAAAAGTTAGTTTTCTTTCGATATTCTCAACCATGAATCTGTTTCTATAATGCTTTTCATACTTTCCATTAGAAAACAATAGGAATGTTGAGTTTATCTAAATTATTTTTGTTTATATTTACCATAATTTTTTCTTGATTTATGAACACTTGGAGAACCATTCAAAATTGATACAACCTCATTAGCACATGTTTGAATTCTATGTAAAACAGAAACATTATAATAATACAATAAACATATTAACTTTTTGTTATTATTAAGTTGTTTTTTCTCTTAACCCAGTTAACTAAAACCATACTAACTTTTTCTTTGTCTGGAAACTCTGTGACAGTCCAACTAAAAGACAAGAAAAAACATTTGTGAGATTTATGCCTACACATATTTAAAAAAAAAGCATTATTTGTAAATGTAGCTTTAAAGTCGNAGGAATGGACACTGAGAAGCTTTTAGGCCACAGATTGAAGGAAACAATATTAATACGATTACAATTAGAGAGTCTGTATGTGACGGGATCAAGAGTCAGATTGAGCCAATATTGGAGGATTAAATGAGCACACACTGCCAATTGGTAATACAGTGAAAGAACATTTAGAAAATTTAAAAAGAAAAGTCAACTATAGGTCTGCAGAAGAACTGACTATGAACAAAAAACAAAAGCTAGATGGGAAGAAGCAAGAATAATCATGTCTGGCTTTAAAAATAGTGCTTTTAAGGACTACAGTATCATTTTACTGTACTGTAGTCCTTAAAGCACCACCAGCACTACCCTCCCAATTTTAAATGAGAAGCACTAAGGGTTTGAGTTGGATCCATGAATGTGGCTCTTGATGATGGTCAGTCACCATAAAAAACAGGAGTTCAATGAACACATAATTTGAACATTAATCCATAGGAATTTGTTAAATGCTAATCATAACTGTGTTTGTTCAACATTGTTATTTAGTTAATGTTTTATTAATTTTTTTAAAGATTTAGAACATATTTTATTTTTAAACAAAGTTTTTAAAAGTTAAATGAGCTCTATGTTTGAATCTATTACAAGTTATTAAAATGTATTCATTTGTTCTATGTTTGAAACTGTCTTGTTCTCTTTGATGATGAGATATGAAGTGTCTCAAAATGTTTAGTTGAAAATAAAATATGTTTAACTCCTTGAGTTGTACATACAGCAATCCTTCAAAGAAATAAGCAACTGCAAAAATTAGTTACATGCCCATAGAAACCACTACTTCATAAAGAATTATTACTTAAATAAAAAGAAATTTAATCTGAATGAAAAGTATTATAAAAATCAACCTATTTATTATTTTTTAATTTTATTATAACTAGTTACATATATATAGAAGATAAAGTAATAAAAGTGACATTAAAAAATACTAAGCAGAATATACAATAAATAGACATTCACTCAAAACAATCTAAGTAGAACAATTATATTTGTTCACAAAATAAAATTTTGTTAACTCTTATTAATTCAGAGTAAAATATACAAAAATAAGTTTCTGTAGGTGAGTCTTACCTGTCCATTTTATCTGTTCCAATATTCTTATATTTCTAAATAATATACAGCAATTGAAGAAATTTTCTGACAACAACTCTCTATATCTTGACAATATCACTATCATTAGAAACAGGGAAATAATCAGATTGATCATTTCTGTTGGGTTGGATTACAGTAAAATTAGGTTTGGTAATATGCAATATCCCAGGTAATACAGTGACATGTTATTCACATAGATTTCTAGTATTTTCGCATGTGGAATACTCGTATCAATACCTGTGGTTTACACGTTGATATGACACACTTTTGATGTCATTTTTCCACTTTCAAATATTACATATATTTTAGATAGAAAACACATGCATTTCCACATTTCAGGTAAAACATTGATGTGTTAGCCACATAGATTTCTTGTAGTTACACACCTGGAGCACTCTTATCAATAGCTATATATTACAGTAATTAGATAGTCAAATTACCAAATTGGAATCCAGTCAAATTAGTCAAATAGTCAAATTGGAATCCAGCATCTTGCTATTTTATTGTATTTTGTGAAGCAATGCAGAATTCAATGCATCTTTATACACAAGCGCACACATATATTTATACTTTTAATAAATCATTTATTTACTGTATATAATACATGTAAATAATACATTTCTTTGTTATTTGAATAAACTATATGTTTGATATATTGAAATATATTTTCTTGCTGGCTGTTATTTAGTAAGTGCTCCTTTTCTGTCCCTATGAAAAATAAACATTCATTAAACCTATTAACATAACATTCTTAAAAAATTACTTAAATTTTACATAAGTAGTCATTTGTTTAAATCAATAAAAAGGTGTAGATTTATTTCTACCTGTAGATTTTCTGCATATTTTTTTTTTTGCATTTTTCAGTCAATTTTTAAGTAAATCTTCTTTATTTACTATTTTTNGAAAAATATAAAAACAATAAAAAATTATACTTCAGATGTTAATTTAGTATCAAAAACAAAATATTTGAGTAGCCCAAGACATAGCCAAAGATTGAAGTGCTACAGCACTGGCGAAAATTTAAATTTGCCAACTGGAATTCTTTCAGATGATTGACTTTCGGAAAATTGACGCTCTACTGTAATGCTAACATTTTTCATTTGATTAATGGACCATCTTCAGGTGTGGACAGTTGAAAATGGAATATTGGTGTTTGCAGGAAGGAAGGGATAGACCCCAATAGAATAAACATTACGAGGTAGATAATGATAGCATTGATTGATGCAAATGTCCAAGAAAATGTTCCAAGCAGGAAAAGGAAGTCCTTGCCCTGCTGTTTATACAAGGTAGATTTACAAAGATAAAGGCCAGTAGAAATCAAGGAAAATTAATTTTNATTGCAAATTTTCAGTAAATGTGTTTACTCAATAATATAATTTAGCCAAATTTATTAATGCACCTTTAAAATTGGATGAAGTTTAAATAATGCTAACATTTTTCATTTGATTAATGGACCATCTTCAGGTGTGGACAGTTGAAAATGGAATACTGGTGTTGGAAGGAAGGAAGGGATAGACTCCAATAGAATAAACATTAGGAGGTAGATAATGATAGCATTGGTTGATGCAAATGTCCCAGAAAATGTTCCAAGCAGGAAAAGGAAGTCCTTGCCATGCTGTTTATACAAGGTAGATTTACAAACAAAGATAAAGGCCAGTAGAAATCAAGGAAAATTAATTTTTCACAGTTTCTGTCTGTTAGGATTTGAATCACATGACATGTTTTTGACTTTGTTATGCTTGCAATGTGTGTTTAAAATGGCTGTACCAGTTTGTAATCTCACCAAGTGCGAGGTTTTGTTCAGGGATTCAATTAATTTGAGTAAAAGTAGAAACTGCCACAGAAATTCACTGGTAACTTGTTTCCATTTATGGTGAATAGGCAAAATGCAACATAATGGTATCATATAATTCTACACGATAATGCCTGACTGCACACTGCTCACATTACACAAGAATTGTTGCTGACATTCAACAATTCTTGTACCAAACAATTATCACTTGTTTCTAAAGTTGAAGGAACATCTCTCTGGAAAGAAGTTTAATGACAATGACATGATTATGAGAGCTGGCATGAGATTTCTATGATGTTGGCATCAAGAAACTTGTTTCCAGGGTCACTAAATTCATTGAGTTCCATGGTGACTATGTTGAAAAATGAAAAAACATATGTTCTAAATGTATTATAAGTCAATCTAAAAATAAAATGCTTTAGAAATATTTTCTGGACTTTGTATCTTTACTATAAGAATGTGCCTCATACATGTGTTTGTAACAGAGTGATTATATAGTGTTAAAAGTGATGCATTGATTAATTTAGTGACTATATAACACAGTGACTATTTCATCCTTATTAAAATAATTTAGATAGTGTTAATAAAAAGTTCTTACTTTTATGTATTAAAAAATGATTATATTTTGTTTTTTCTTTTAAAATAGTTAACAAAATCAGTTGTGAATCCACTTGAAGAAGAAAATGAACAAAATTCTGAAACTGAAAAGATTGATGATGATGACGATGATGATGATGAGGAAGGTGATGATGATGATGATGATGAAGGAGAAGGTGATGAGAAAATAAATACAGTGACAAATGGAGAATTAATAGAAAACTGTAATGGTAGTCATGTTGTAGTTACAATCATTGATTCTTCTGTTGAAAAAGATTCTTCAACAGTTCCTGCATCTATATCTGTGAGTGAAAGTACTGAAATAACTCAGTTTTCTGAACAAAAGGCAAATAGTGAGCTTATTACACAAAATGGAGTAACAAAAATTACAGATGCAAATGAAAATTCACTAAATTTTAAACAAAATAGACCAGAAGATTTGCAGCTAAACACTTTGAATACTACTGATGGCCTTCATCTTCTAACACACTTATCTTCCAGGGAAGCCACACTCACACAAAAACTTGAAGCTGCTCTTGGAAGTGTTTGTCCATTATTAAGAGAAATAATGGTAGATTTTTCACCTTTTCTTTCACGCACATTAGTAGGTTCTCATGGACAAGATTTGTTAGTTGAAGGCAAAGGTAAATAGTTCATAAACTTTTTAAAAATTTTAAAATTAACATAATAGTTAACTAAAAGATTTAAAAATAGAGATGAATTATTTTTGAATGAGTAATTAAGTATTTAGTTTTAATTTTTTAATTAATCTATGAATCTAATAGTTTATTTAGGCTATCATAAAGTTTATATGCATTTTCAATTATTATTATTATGTATGTTACAAAACATAAGAAAAAATATATTAATGTTTATTTGTAGTCTAATAATTTCCAAGTTATAAGAATTTATTAAAAGTATATTGTTATTTCTTTTATTTTTTAAGTAAATTTTTATTCATAATGTAAATAACAGAGCATATGAAAACTAATAATTGCAACTTAAAACATTTATATTATAAATACTTTACAAAATAATTTTTTTTTTTAAATAAACGAGCAATTTATTGTGACATCATCACAATGCCGGGATACAATTTTTAATCATGTTTTTTCATTTATTTAATTTAAAATATATGCTTTCTACCTCATATTAGTAGTGGCTTGCCCCTATACATCTTACTTTTCCTTTAACAATAGAGTCATGTTGATCATCTATCTAACACCTTTCAGGAGAAAGTTTTTGAATTGAAAAATAACATGACTTTCAGTTTGCATTGAAGGGTGTGTATAGTTAATTGTGGCCTCCTGCCCCTAACATTTCCTTATCTAGTCTAGTCTTGTTGGGCTATAATTTTTTCAAATTGTAGCCCAACAAATTAAATTTAAAATGTAATATCCTTATTCTGATTCAACATACAATGTAGAAGTCTACAAAACTTATTTAAATGCTAGTATTTTTAGTATCCTTAATGCTATTCTCAAGATTTGTTAACAAAACTTAGAGCAGAACAACACTTTATTTATATAAACAGAATTTGATTTGATAATGATAAAGGCATTAAAATACGTTCTTAGTTTAACACATTGAACAAATACAATATGTAAACCTTTTTTTTTTTTTTTTACATTTAAACACTACAATAAACAGTTTAGGTATTGATATTAAGCCAAACAACTGCCATAATTAATTGGGTTATTTTATGCTACAATTAATAATTAGAAATTAAGTAATTTGGTACTAGAGGTAGACATTAGGCACCATCTTATATCAAAATTCATAATTATAATAATATAATATTTGTTAAATAATTTAGAATAGTCTGGAAGAAAAAAATTGGCCCAAAGCGGAAGTCAAACCCACAATCTCTGCTTACAGTGCACCAAATTACTTCATTTCTAATTATTAATTGTAGCATAAACTAGCCCAATTAATTATGGCAGTTGTTTGATTTAATATTAATACATCAGGCTTTGGGATGTTTATCTATACTAATATTATAAAGAGGTAATGTTTGTATGTATGTAAGTTTGTATGCAGCAGGTAATCTCCGAAACTACTCATCTGATTTCAAAAATTCTTTCACCAATATTTAGAATGGAACTTCGGGTGGGCATAGGCTGTATATTATTCCGTTAAAAATTCATATAAATTAAATTAAAAGATATAATCTAGGTTAAGGCTTTTATGTCCAACAGATGGTGCTACGAGTACGACGCCCTAAGTTTGCTTTTCTGTGAGGCATTATGCTTTTCTGTGAAAATGAACTAAAGCAGATCATCTTCTATTTATATAAATAAAAATGTAATGTTTGTTTGTTCCTACCGATTCCTTTGAAATTTTGACACAATGCTGCATTCGAATACGCACGTGTTTTTATATAATATACATGTCGAAATTCAACACCACTGAAGGGAGATGGTTAGGATTAAGGCTTATGGTAAAGAACTCTGCTAAAAGAATGTACACTAAGAAGGGATTTTTTGATATTCCCCTCGTGGGGGAGAGAGACAGGATTAAGGCTTACCATGAAGAACTTGGCTTCTATGATACTATTTTAGATGCGGGTTTTTGCGTTTTTGATTGCGTTTTAATAGGGTATGTCAAGAGAATGTACACTAAGAAAAAATTTTTCGAAAAATTCCCCCCACCACGGGAGAAGTGTTATAAATTTATAATAGATACATTTTGAGCCACAACAACGCGTGGCGGGGTCTGCTAGTATATATTTGTTGATAGTATTGGTTATAGTTTATTAAAAATGGATTAGAATAAAAATTTTGAATAAAAAAAATTATTGTCTAGAATGATAGAGAAGACCAGTCTGATGTAAAATCAAATTCTAAAAAAAAAAAAAAATGCAAATATAGTATAAAAAGTTTAAGGATTAAGTTTATCTTGATGATTAGACCTAACAATTTATTCAGAAATGATGCAAAGTGCAGAATTTTTTTTAAGTCTAATATCTAATATTTTGCATCATTCTTAATGTTTGTTTTTATCTTCTATATTATATACATATATAATAATATTTCATTCTAAATTCAAAAAGGTAAGTAATATTATTACAGAACCAGTTTTTGTTAAGCCTGATTTATAGTTGCATGTCAGGTTTGACATCATGACAATGAAATAGGCAATTTGCATATTTTATATAAAGCATAATATATTATGCTATTATTAAAAACTATTTCTAGATTGAATAAATATATAATATGCATTCATTCATACATTTTCAACTATATAATATATAAAATACTATGTATTGCTTTACATACTGATTTGACTATTAAGAAATTCTATTAGTTATTATAAAATTTGTAATGTTTATTTTATTTAGTTGTATTAGTTATTCAAAGCCATTTTATTTCTCCAATAAAAATTAAAGATAGTTAAACATTTGCAACATATAAATTTCAGTTTATAAATTAAAATTATCAAATAATAACAATATATTGTTATGAATGATGATAAATGGTCATGAATAAAATTATATAGAATCTTAGATGAAAATGTAATTATTATTATATAACTCTTTTATCATTTTCTTTTTAAATGATTTTTCTCTTGGAATAAACCATTTTCTTGTCAATATTTTTAAATGTTTTTTTCCAAATTTGCTGGTTTTTTACATTAATATTTATAAAAAAGAAACAAACAATATTGTTAAGTAGAAATTTATGTTTAATCTGGAGCAAAATATTTTAAAAAGACTAACAAGTAAGCCAAAAGTTTAATTGAGCATAATTAGTATGAAATAATATGGGTTTTAGTTAATTTTTGTTGATTTCCTAATTATTATTGTTTTTAATAAACATTTTGTAAATTTTATGATGTGAAAAACATTATTATGAGCATACTTATTAGAAATTTCTTAACTTCAGTATTTTAAAAATGTTATAACATTTTCAACATACTGTACAGTGTATTATTTAATATTTGATATACAGTAGAGCGTCGTTTATCCGAATCAATTGGGGACTGGGGTTGTTCGGATAACTTATTTTTCGGATAACCAATTATGTACGGAAAAATATATTAATTTATCCCGTGTTGAAATTTTTCTCCATTGCATGTCGCTTCGCGTTGAATTTTCGTTGATGTTAAGCCTAACAAAGACTATTGTATCGTTAAAAATTATTTTTTTATTTTGTACAAACAAAATAAATATATTGAAAAATATAAAATCAATAAAAAATTATACTTCAGAAGTTAATTTAGTATCAAAAACATAAAATATTTGAGTAGCCAAAGACATAGCCAAAGATTACAGCACCACAGCACTGGCGAAAATTTAAATTTGTCGATTGGAATTCCTTCGGATAAATGATGCTTTACTGTATTGAAATTCTATACTATTCTATAAATAAAACAGTATACAGTGGTACCTCAGGATACGAAATTATTTTGTTCCGACACTGAGATCGTATCATGAAAATGTTGTAAGGTGAATCATTTTTCCTCCATACGATTACACGTAAAACCAAATAATTCGTTCCAACACGAAAAACACACTCAAATTAAAGCTAAGTAATACGTTGAAAAAAATAACTATAGTAAGGAAAACACTGAAAAATACGTTTTGTAGTTGTAAATGTATAAATAATCATAATAGAATAATAATTGATAAAAAAAAATGAAGTTTTATTTGCACTTTACCTTTGAGGATAGACGACGGTGGAGGTGTAAACTGGTGGCGGAAGACAGGGAGAAGGGAAATGATACTAAAACTTAACTTACATAACATAATGTAACAATAACTTAAAAATAACTTAGAAAAGATTTAAAAAATTAGTGTTGTTTTATATATATATATATATTTTCTTGAAATTTTTATTCACTGCTGTTTGCTTTCTTTCCTTCACTTCTACCAGCACTTTCACTGGATAGAGGTTGCTTGGTAAAATATCTATCCAAAGAGGTTTGGCTTTGCCTACTTTTTAAAATGTTTCTAAAATGACTTAGACAAATGTCATTACTCCGAGCAGCAATGCGGTCAGTGTGAACATATTTTTGCTCCACGATATGAACAAAAACTCACCATACGACGTTACATTAGTTCTCAGCGCCATTTTTTATTCACTTCTGTTTGTTGGTCTCAGTCGGCATGTTTGCTTCGTCATGGAAGGATCTTGCTTGATAAGGAAATCTTGAGGTATTATTAGAAAGTGACTGATTTTATTGAAAAGAAACATCCCAAAAAAGATGTTTTTTTTTTGGGATAACATGTGGCAAATCTGGTGGCCGTGTTTAAGATGCTAAAGTCAGTGTGTGACCATTTAATGCAATTTTCAGTTTATTATACAGTATTTACATATTTATTGTGTTTGTGTTTTAATTTATTATTAGGGCATTTAATTGTTATTTTTACCTTAAATTATATGTACGAGGGGGCTTCAAAAAGTTTGTGGAAAAAGGATAGTATGAAAAAACTATTTCAGTTATGATGTTTGTTTTTTCAACATATGCTCCGTTAAGATCTATATACTTCTGCAAACATTAATACCAGTCTTTAAGTCCGTCTGAGTAGAACTGAGGGTCTTGTGACCTGAACCATGTCAGAGCAGCTCTCTTTACATCTTCAACTGACGGAAAATTGTTACCTTTCAATGATTTTTTCAACTTTGAAAACAAAAAGAAGTTGAATGGGGCTAAATCAGGGCTGTAAGGGGGATGTCGGATGATTTCTCATCGAAATTCACGTAGCACAGCTCTTGTTTGCCAAGCACTGTGAGCAGGTGCATTGTCATGGTGGAAGAGGACGCGTTTATGCCACTTTCCAGGGCATTTTTCCGAGATTCTTTTGGACAATTTTCTCAAAATGCCTTCATAATAAGCAGATGTAATTGTCTTCTTGTTATTGAAGAAGTCAACTAGCAAAATCCCCTCTGCATCCCAGAAGACAGTGGCCATGACCTTTCCTCTTAAACATTCAGATTTTGCTTTGATTGGTCCACTTCACCCCGGGGCAGCCACTGCTTTGATTGAATTTTGTCCTCAGGATTGTACTGGTAGGGCCATGTTTCATCTCCTGTCACAATTCTTTGCAGTAAAGTTTCAGAGTCCCCACCCACACTTGTTCAAAATTTCCATTGAAAGATCTGCCCTCGTTTGCTGCTGATCTGGCCACTGTTTCACAATTATTTGATTTGGATATTTAATGGATACTAATAAATGTCATTCATTATAGTGGGAATTAGGATACAGGGAGTTCAGATTCTGGGACATGGCTATATATTTATTTAAAACTAGCTGCAAGGACCCACTTTGCTGGGTTTTTATTTGTATGTAATATAGTTTTTTTTATATATATAGAAGACTGTTTTTCTAAGTAATCTAGAATCTAGCTGCAAGGACCCGCTTCGCTGGGCAAAAAGTAACGATAGTGAAGATTAAGATAATTACATTATAGCTAATCTTACCCGTTTTCACAGAATGCAATAATTAGGTCCCCGTTTCCAGACTAATTACAGAATTTTTACGTTTAGTCAAATGAACTATTTTCAACATTTCTGGAATGTTTACAATCGTTTTATAATCGAACCAATATTCAAATTTTATGTTCGAATTTAATTCGAACAAATTTGAACAAAACATTCGAAATAGAAAGCCACTTTCAACCACTTTCAGCCCCATATCTCCCACACCCTTATAGCTATCGAGACGCAATTCCCCTGGTGCATGAATGGAGACTTGGGGCTACTACTACATACAAACACCATTCACGTGCGATGTGTAGTTTTGGCGGAAAAGTGAAATATAGGGACATACATGTCCATTTTTATATATATATATATAGATTAAATGATTTTATCTATATACTGTATTATGTAAAATATTAATATCTTTTTTATCATTATTAATTTCATTATTATTGTCATAAATAATATACTGTAAAATGCCTATCATAATGAATATTTTTTATATTATTTGAATATTTAATATATTACAGGTTTAAATACATTCAAGAATAGTTCTTCCGTTGTTGAGTTAGTGATGCTATTGTGTTCGCAAGAATGGCAGAATTCCCTACAAAAGCATGCAGGTTTAGCATTCATTGAATTGATAAATGAAGGAAGGTATGAAATATTTTAAAATTAAATTTTGTACAAAAATAACTGTGAATTTTTTATGAAAAACTTTTAGATAATTAAAACAATTTTTTTATGTTTTATTGTATTTGAATATTTATTGTTCATTATTATTGTTGTTATTGCTAATTACAAGAAAAACTTTTCATGGAAGTAATAATTATTAGATTTTATTTATAAAACTTTCTTTTAGTCATACATTTAATATATGAATTTCACTTCCATGTGGTTCTGTGAGATAGCTGTTAAATTTTAAGTTATGTTTCATTTCCTAGATTGTTAAAGGAATAAGAATAGTTTCTTTTGGTTATCATTGATCTAATTAGTTTGGAACTATCATAAAATCTCCAATAAGTCAATTTGTAATTAAATAAATATCTGAAGACAAAGTCCTTCCAAAAAAGAAACCAACATTTATTATTTTCGCATTCTGGACTATACAAAGAAGTCAATTTGTTTTTACAAAATTTAACAAATGAGGCTCTTTTTGACATATTATGAAAACTAATATAAAAAAATTCTGGAAGTAAAGATTGGCCTGGAATGGGACTTGAACCACTGTTGACAGTTGATAATCTAGATTGGAGTCGTTCAGGGGTTCCCAAACTTTTTTGACTCAATCTCTTCCAGGATTTGTTGACCTTTTATTGATTCCCCCCTCTTTTTTGCTAGTACAGTTAATAATAATAATAATAATAATAATGAATGATGATGCACATACTAGTTACCATGTTGTCAAAGTAAGAGAATTTACTTTGACAAGGTGTTACAAAATAAGTAGTTACAGTACAATGAACCATAGAATGATGCCAAAAGGAGCTAGGATAAGCTTCCAGTAGGCCTGCCAAGCCAGTAAAGTCTACAGGGAGAAATTAGAGTGAACCATAACTAGCATCTTATTCTCATGTTAGAGATGACTGATTTATAAGCACTTGTCTTTAACACAAGCATATCCATTTCTGTGGAGAAAACAAAAATGACAGTTATATACTTACAGCACAATACTGGCTTACGCACACGCACACACCAAGTGCCTTAATGGAAAATGTTTAATAAGGATTGTTGATTAGGAAAGAACAATTATACACAACAACCTTATTCCACAAATAATGCTTGAACATATAAGACAAGTTGCATAGCACATAGAAACAATAGGTCACATGGTTCATCACTCATTGACAGCACCTCAACAATAGTCACTCAAGAAAACATACACGGCATGACAAGTATCAACATTAACATGACAGTTAAAACCAGTGACCCAATAGACACAGAATTAACACACTCACAAAATTTATTTCAGAAACATGCACTAAATATATATGTTTAGATTCCACAGAAAGAGACTACAAATACACAAAATACACACTATTTGATCACACATTCTCTACACTATCTAAATATGTATATATATATTACTAAAGCACATTCAACAAAAATCAACACTTTCAAACATACAGCTTTTCAAGCTTGCTTTATTTTTGAAAATTGGCTGTTAGAGCTTGTGAACTTGGATAATTTTTTTCTATTTTTGCTTCTATTAGCAAAAATATTAAAATTATAAATTATATTATAAAATTAGTAATAAAATATTTATTGCTAATTTTATAAATTAAAGATTTTTAGGAAGTTTTAACAATTTAATAGCTGCTTGAAACAAATATGCATTACAAATTTTAAAACAAGAAATATTCAAAAATAACCTGTCAAAATTACTTATTATTGGCATCATTTACATTATATTGAAATTGGAAATGAAATGAAGAAATCCAATAAATAGATAACAATTCAGAACATATTTTTTAAATGTTTATTTATTTTCAAATGCATTTGCTTTTATTATATACATTTTGTCAGATGTGTAAAAAGATGAAGTTGGTCATATTATGAATGAAAACATTTATTAAAATAATTATTTAGTTACATGAATTATGCTGTCTGTTTATAATTAAGTTGCCAAGTTTTGTGGATTTTATGGAAAACTCAGATAAAATCAGAAATTGAAGGAACAGCATATTCTTAAGCATTTATGGGAAATGATTAATACTAAATAAAATAAATTGCAAATGGATTTGAAGGGAAAAAATAATTTTTTTTATAAACGCTTTCGCCTTTATAAAACAAATTATTCTATATTTTACTTTTAAAGTTTCACATCTGTTTTATTTATTCAAAATTAAGTAGTCTTTTCAAGTCTTTCTTAACATTTTATCAATGTTTGGCATTTACTACACTTTTTAGTGACTCTGTATTAGGAATTGTTTTTTTTTTTACATTTATTTAAAACTGTATTGTTAAGCTTAATACTTCGTCAAACCTCAAAAATGTTTATTTATACATGAAATTGCATTTTAATATATTTATTTTTAATTCATGAAAATGTAATGTGTTGGGTTATTTTATTTGTTTAGTTAAATGTTTTTCTTATTTTTGTTTTTTGCAAATTAAAGTTTAAATAAAAAAAGTTTTTCCTTAAAATCTACTTTGAGCATAATTCAAGTTAATACAAATTAATTCTTAACATAAATTAGTTAACATTTTTATAGGAGAGCAATTTGATAATCTTATAAGCCTATTATTATATTATTTAATATAAATTAAATTCAACAGCTTCTTACATTGATAGTTCAGGGAAAAAATTAAAGACATACCATTATAATAAGAAAGAATATTAGATTTTTTAGAAGTGTAGAATAGTTTTAATATCTGTTAAAAATTAAACAAAAATTGGTATTATATCTAGTGAGATGAATAGATTATATTTCTTCTTCTCTCAGAATTACACTAATATAGTTTTTTCCCTCCAGATTACTTTCTCATGCAATGAAAGATCATATAGTCAGAGTTGCAAATGAGGCAGAATTTATTTTAAATCGTATGAGAGCAGATGATGTTCTAAAACATGCTGAATTTGAGGTAAATAGTTTTGTTGTGCAATTCGTTAATAGTATACTAGATTCCACTTATTGTAATCACAGATACTGTTATCAGTTGTTTAATGTTATCAGAATTAGCATATATCAAACATAATAATAAATCTTAAAGTTATAAGTTAATTGTTTTAACGTATCATTTTAGTGTCAGGCCAAGACTCCACTAGCGTAAAAACAGGCGTAAAAACCTTTGCCATAAAAGCTTTTAATCACGTGACCTATTTGCGTTTGTGTCTGGATTGCGGTCGAGGTCCAGCTACCAAAGTTTTTACAGTGACAGTACTATCGAAGTTATAAAGACAATGATTATATTCTACAAGTTTTTTTTCTGTACTATAATTACAAACGTAGTAAGTATTATTAATTAAGATAATATACAGCACTTATTAAGCTTAGCTTTTTTCATTATATACTCCTCTAAATTGAAGGATTTTCCTTTGGCCATCCGTATCGCGTGATTTAGGCATCTATTATTATAATCGGGATACTTCTTGTCGTAGATACACGAATACTTTCGAATGTTTTCGATAAATCTTTCCAGATCTATTCTAGAATAGCCATGAGGGAACGTACACAAAAGCTCATTTTCCGCCATTTTCACATTACGTCACAATGACCTAGATTTCACTGACTTCTGATTGGTGGATGGTACTGTTTTACGGCTGTATTCGTGTCCAAAGTTGAACACTGCTCAACTTGCTTTTACGCTGGTTTTACGACCTGCTCAAGCATAAAATATCAAGCATAAAATATCATGATTAAAAGCTTTTATGGCGAGGGGTTTTTACACCGTTTTTACAGTAGTGGAGTCTCGGCCTCAGAGTCAATAAAACCAGAATTTCTTCTAATTGTAGTCTTATTTACTTACTCTGTTTAATGTTATCATTCGGTTATTGTTATTATTGTTGGCAAATTCCAAAGTGATTGCAATAAGCAGATTTTACTGTATTTATAATTATTTTACTTGTCTTAAACATTTCAATATCCTAATTCATATTAAAACTGTTGTGGCTTTCAAAAATAATGTTTAAATTGATTATTATGAAAGTAACATATAAAACTGATTATTGAAAAAATGGATGATGATAAAAATTTGAAGTAACTTGACAAATGTATTAAAAATAATAAATGAATCATTTTTATTGATGAAGATTATTCAAAATTTTTTCTCCCTTTCTGGCTTTTTCCATCAGTTGGATCTATATTGAAAATAAAAATATGGGTTTATAAAATAAATGTCATTAAAGAATTATTTTGAAAAAGTCAAATCTTAATTTCAGTTACAGTTGAAAAGTTGCTAAATATTTGACAACTTTTAAACTGTTTGAGGATTTGTCATATGATTGTGCAGTACAATGTATTGTGCTGTTTTTGTGGGCAGTTGAGATTTAAATACTGTAATTTTACATATATTGTTCCAGTTAGAAGTTGTTTCCTAATCTTTACTCACAATAAAACATATATAATGGAATAAAATGGTAAAAAAGAATACATAAACTTTTAAAATCTAACTTCAATTTTTCATAAATAAATGTTTCAAGCTACATTAGTAGTTATGATCAAGTTCAAATATAGTTCAGATTGTTTCAAAAATATTTTGACATTATTAACATCACAAGTTATTCCATAATTTGCGATGTTAATCTCATGAACATCTGTATTTAAATCTGATGACGGCCACTAATAATTGCTGAAAATATTTGTTTATTTAAAATTTATACTGGATTTTATAGATTTGTGTGTTTGTTTTACTAGTTTATTCAATTACAGATGTTTTATATTAGTAAAGAATAAGAAATGACTTTCAACTGTGATAAATTTCAGATTCTGGATCTTTAAAACTTTATATATTTATGTAGCATTATGATCAGTCTTTTTCTCAGTTCTAATTTCAGAGACCTATATGAAATTATTTTCATTTGTTTCTCCTTATTCATGCTTATCAATTTCACTATCAGTCACAGTTATCTGTAATAAACAGAATTAAGGTTACTTATATATCTGTGTTGTTGGTATTATACATTAAGCTAACTACTAAACTGCCGAACGATCGCCTAAATATCGGGCTATTATATGGCTAATTAAATGATTAGAATAAAATAATTTGTCATTAGAGGTAAGCATTAGGCGCCATCTCTTAAGTAAATCAATAATTAAAATTAAATAAATAAATTATTAAGTTAATTTTAGAATTTTCTGGAATAAAAGAACTGGCCCGGGACGGGGCCTGAACCCGCAACCCCGCCCGCCGCGCGGTGCACTTGCCAGTTATGCCACCCGGACCCCGAGCAAGTCTTCACTTCCAGAATTATATTAGATTAGATATAACCTTACTTGGTTAAATACATCACTGACTGGGGATGACTTCATCGCCCACGACCCCAATGGCACTCAGCCAGCTAACGTAACACCCGGCGAGGTATATATGTATAAATAACAACATTCAAAGCCCGAATAGTATAACTACTAAACTGCCGAACGATCGCCTAATTCGGGCTTTGAATGTTATTATTTATATATATATATATACTTCGCCGGGTGTTACGTTAGCTGGCTGAGTGCTATTGGGGTTGTGGGCGATGAAGTTGTCCCCAGTCAGTGATGTATTTAACCAAGTAAGGTTATATCTAATCTAATGTAATTCTGGGAGCGAAGACTTGCTCAGGGTCCGGGTGGCGTAACTGGCAATCGCGGCGGGCGGGGGTTGCAGGTTCAGGCCCCGTCCCGGGCCAGTTCTTTTATTCCAGAAAATTCTAAAATTAACTTAATAATTTATTTATTTAATTTTAATTATTGATTTACTTAAGAGATGGCGCCTAACGCCTACCTCTAATGACAAATTACTTTATTCTAATCATTTAATTAGCCATATAATAGCCCGATATTTAGACGATCGTTCGGCAGTTTAGTAGTTATACTATTCGGGCTTTGAATGTTGTTATTTATACATTAAGCTAACTCACAATAATTTCATTTTTTAATAATCATTCATTACTTTAATCAAATTTAAATATTTGACTTTATGCTTTATTATAATTCTGGAAATTAGTGAAGTAATTTATTTCTTGCTGCATCTGTGAACAAGATGAGAACATGATAAAAAAATAAAAGAAAAAGATGATAACAATAATTGAGCAATATTATAATGTAAAATTTTTATAAATAAAGATATTAAATCCAACAGAACATGATTTATAATGAACAAAACTTAAATAGGTCTAAAGTCTACCTGTTCATAATATAAAGAAAATATGTGTATCTATGAAAATTAACTTTAAAATAATTAATAATAAATATCATTATAATCTGATTGATAAAGTAGTGAGGAAAAAAATATTACATTATATAGTTGATGAAAATTTATGAAAATTAAGATATTTTGTGCTTCATAATAACGTCATTTAAATTGTACCAAAATATTATATAACAACATGATATATAATCAATTTTTACAAAGAATCTTATTTTATGATGTAGACATTTGTCTTGAGTTTAAAGAAAGAAAAAAAAACTCGTAGATAAGACTAAAATAATTAAATAATTATTTGAAGAATAAAATTGAATAATTGAAAGATTGAACATTAACTTCATTTTAAACAAATTTAAATTTTAAATATTAAACAATTCATTTAGTATTACACCCATACCAAAATTGTAGGGACAGTAAGGTTTTTATGTTTTTGAATACATGATATATTTATGATTTCAAACAGGAGAATAAGTTACATCACATAATAAAAAAGTGACAACATTCAGACTGGTTTATGTCCAAAAGACTTCTCATAGTGGACAAACCTAAGTTATGTAACTTATTATAGAAACTTGATTCATATAAGACTAATTTGTTAGCCCATCTTTGACTTGGATAAGCTAAAACACACTGTATTATATAGAATTTATAAAGATGTTTTTAAGGTATCCTATTTAAGAAGTCCTATTCTGCCAAAATAGTTTCTTTCAATTTCCTATTTGTATTGTATTGTTTATTTCTTGTTTATACTTTATAGAATAGGACATAATAGGCCTATAATTTGTACATATTTTTTATTAGATTTAGTTCAGACTCCATACAATCCATATCAAGTTTTTTCTTATTGAAATGACATTTTATTCAAGTTTGGCATATGGATGTCCAGAAAGTTTGATATATATACTGTCCTGCTGGAATTTCCAGTTTGGTCCCAATGAACAAACAAAGAGTAACTTTATAGAATCCATTTTTACTGAAAATGAGCATTAAGTTTGGCTTTTCATAGAATGCAAATATTCCTTAGTCATAATTGATTCTCCTCGTTTTCTCTTAAGCTTAATTAAATCTTTGGTTCTTTGATCATGCCAGTAATATCCAAATTCACCAGTTCCATCTAAGTTTCATATTTTTTATTAAAAAACACAATTTCAATCATTCTGTCACCCAGCATTTGATATTTTTAGTCCATTTTAATATTTGGTCTTTGTGTAGCCATCAAGGCTGTTTTAATTTCTTACACAAATTTTATGATCTTATTTTTTAAGACAACTCCAGATTGTTTCATGGAAATTCTGAACAGGCCCATGTTCTTCTTCAATGATGTCCTTGTAGACAAGCCATGATGTGTATTTAACTACATAAAATAGCTTAAACTTCTGGAAGTATAACATTTCAATTTTTTGGACTACATTTTATACCATATTTTCCAATAGTTCTAAAATAGTTGTTTATTTATATGATATTGATTTATTATACAAAATAAAGATTTTTTAGTCCTCTTGTTCATTTAACTCAATTCCTAATGTATTTTGACTTTGTATGCATCTAGACTTTTTCTCCTTCTTTACCATTATTTTATATCACTGCATAATGAAGTCTACACTTATGTATCTATATACAAATTTCTCTATTAATCTAAATATAATAATATTTTAATAACTGCCCTTAAAATTTTATTACAACAATTTCTGTATGGACTTTAAAAATTCTTTTGATATTTTTTTCATCTGTATGTGCATATTGAAAAGTTAAGATTGTAAGTATTATGATATCTAATTTCAATGTGAGAAATCATTTTTACTGTTTTGTTTTTTTACTGATGAAAGTTTTCATTGGTTAAGCAAATGGCTCTATAATTATGTTACAGTGTGTATATGTTTTTATGTGAGAGGCTATTGTATCTCATATTCAGATCCAAACTTAATAATGACTTTGTTTTTAAAGTTGTTATTAAGTTTGGATCTGATGATCATGCATAGTAATTTCAAAAAACATTTTATCAAATAATAAACTTCCTCCTTAAAATTATTAGATTATCTATACGACAAATTATCCATTTTGTCGTATAGATAATAAAATATTCTTGCTTTAAAAACCAATGGTTTTCTCATTGAATTAAATTTGAATAATTTTGTATATTTAATTTTTTGATATAGAAAGATTTTGATAATTAAAACTGAATATTTATAAATGTATGAAAATATAATATTTTTGGTTTTAGTCACTTTGTGCACAGACAACTGTAGATAGGAAAGAAGAAGAAAAAATGTGTGATCATCTTATTACTGCTGCTCGTAGAAGAGATAGTGTAACAGCAAATAAGTCTGTAGAAAAGATATTAAATATATTGACAAATAAGCATGGTGCATGGGGTTCCAAAACAACAAATGTTCCTCTTACTGAATATTTGAAACTTGATTCCTGGGAAGATGATGCTAGACGACGCAAGCGTTTTGTACAAAATCCTTATGGTTCCAGTCACCCTGAGGCTACTTTACAAGCTGCCATTGAGCATGGTTAGTATTAATAGCATAGATTTTATTTTATTTTAGGGCCTGAAGATTACATGAAGATTATTTATTACATCCATAAAATCAATATAGATCTTGATCTTGATATTTGATAATACTAGAATGTAAATTAAAAAAAAAAGAAAGCAAGATAATTTAAATATATATAAATTGATGTTTCTAAATTTGTTGGAATATTTATGACACTTTTATATTATTAATAATATCTTATTTGTTATGATATGTTTTTTTATATTGGATTGCAAATTAAATGTAATTTCAGTGTATTTGAAATCCTTTTATATTGTAGAAAAAAATTTAAAAAAAATTATTTGGTAAATATTTTTAACAGCAGAAAAAAAAGACAGGATATAATTTTATGATTTTTTTCCATTTTTTTTAACTTTGTTTATTTAAAACTAGGCTATATTTAATCTTGATTCTTAATAATCATTAAATGTGCTGTATATTTATATATAATCATAATTTTGTAAATATTTTCAGGTGCTCCAGAAGATGCTATTTTGCAAGCAAGAGAAGAATTTCATAAGCATCTAGCAGCAACACGGAAACAACAACAGCAGCAACATCATTTACAAAGCAATGATTTGCTTGATGATAGTGATTTATGGGATGATAAAGATTTAGATGCAGAACTAACAGGTTTAATAATTTCTATAAATGAATCTGAAGAATTATTATATCATAGTCTATATTTAATACATATATGTATATTTTATTTTAGGGCCTGTTAGTTTCAGTACAAAATGTAGACTTATTGCCCCTGGAATAGTAGTACCAGGAATGCTTTCTGTTACCCAGTCAGAAATGTTTTTTGAAGTAGATGAAGATGAGCAAGAATTTAAAAAGACTGATCCTGCAGTATGTATACTTACAAAATATTTTAATTCGTTATTAGAAATTATTTATATTTTCATTTACACTTTTTATAATTTTCAAGTATTTTAAATAAAATTATATTTTAGTAACTTGTATGTTTGAAATAACAAAATTTCAATTATATTAAAATGTATCTGAAAAAGATAATGTGTAGGGATATAATTTGCAAGTTTTTAATACTGTATATCTCTGAAAATGGACAAAGGATGCAATAGCATCATTAAAATTGATTGATTATTGATTGAAATTTAAACCATATAAAAATTTGTAAATTGATAAACATCAAAATCTAAATTTTATTTATTTACCATGTTCCAACCAATTTGAATACATCTTCAGAATATATCAAATCTTTTAACATTGTTTTAATTTTTTAATTTCTACAATTTTTAAATAATCATTGGTTAAAAATATATTAAATTTTTAAATAAAATCAAAAATTCAAATTAAATCTATTTATACAGAAAATTTATTAAATTATAAAATTTAAATAGTTAAATATTCAGAAAATTAAAATATTAAAAATTTTGCTTATAAATTTAAAGTTTGGATAAAGTTTAATTTGTAGATTCAGTAAATCACTGTTTTTTTATGACATAAAAATGATTTATAATTTGTTCCTTTGCAGACTGCTATTTAAATTCTTATATAATGCATTTTATACAATTTATATTTTAATAAACAAATTCAATGAATTAGGCAAACTGTCTAGAAGAATTTTTTGCAGCTGAAGCTTTTGTTGATAGAATGTAATTCAATGTGTTGAAATTTTGGCTGAATTCACCAATGTTGCAATATCAGAATAATAAACAAGTAGCAGTGAACAAATATTATGCTTTTATTGATGAAACTGGCTAAAGATCTTTGTCAAATGTGATTGTTAGCATTTTAGTTCATAATTGGACCTAATTCAAATTATTGCAGTCATTATGATTTTAATTTGAGACAATAATTGCAACTAATTTTCATTCTGCTGTTCTCATATATTATTAGCCCAAGAGTCTGAGTGCCAAATAACTCAACCAGTTCCTTGGAATTCCAGGATTTTCAAAAATTGTTGCCATGTACAGTAGACCCCCCATAACACTGTTGATAATTCCATGTTGTATGAGTCACTTAGATTTTACAAATACGTGTGCCGGGCTGTGAACGGTTCATGTATTTGTAAAATCTAAGTGACTTGTACAACATGGAATTCATATAATGGAATTATCAACAGTGTTAGTTATAGGGGGGTCTACTGTAATGGTTGAAAACTTTATCAAGTTGAACAATAAATGAATAATGCTTACATTATATTTTTAAATTTTCTATATAGATAAATTTTAAAAATTGGGATTGTTATATCTGTTTAACAACATCTATCAACATATAACACAGTTAAAACTAGGAATGGTTCACATTTAAAAAAAATCTGCCTTTTCGTGAAACATTATTTATGTAATATTAAAACAATCAAATTCCATCAAATGCTATTCTTGTCAATTGCATACTTTTTACATTGAATTGGTTTATTTTACTTTTGACAAATTAATTACTGTATTATGAAACAAACTGAAGTTATGCATCCTGACATCTAAAAAAAGCAGAAGAAAAAACTTGTTAAAATAAGTTGTTAGAACTCTTGATATAAATTTATTATTAAAATAATTATGATTACTACTAATGAACTACTTTTGAGATAAATTGTGTAAATACTCGAGTAGACATAGAAGAAAGTAAGTCTTCTATTTCTAGACAAGAAGAAACATTCTAATTATGGTAAGGTTCTATAGTTCAATAGTTAGTTTAATGTAATATAACATTTTGTAAAAAGTTGCAGAACATTTACATGAATCAAACAATTGTAATTTTTGTATCAAATAAAATTCATTATGCTTAATTTCATCTTATCGAAAACATTGTAGAATGTAACCAGAGGTTAGAGATCCTTGGTTTATGTTTTCTGCCATATAAATGTACTGACAGGCCAAATACAGTTTCCTTGAAGGATATTTATCCAGCCTACATAGCTTGTTTTCAAGGACATGTTTTATCACCAGCATTTTAACTAGTTCAAAACATATAAACTTTTGAAAATTCAACTAGAACTATTATGATTTATATAAAAATCTATTTATAGAAGAATTTTTAGGAGAATTTTGCACTGAGCCATAGGAGAATTTTGCACTGAGAATATTTTCTATTTTTGCATATATGTATCTTTAGGAACAAGCCTTTTTGGAAATTTTATATCAGCAGCAAGCTAACATTTTATTGATGGCCATCTGATCATTATTTGCACTTTATTTTGGTCTTTGCTTTATTTCTAAATGTCATTTGATTAAATAAAATTTTCATTTATCTTATTGAATTATTATTTTGATCTATTTAAAGTATTTGTTATTTTATGAAACTGTCTTTGATAGTTGTTGTGTCAAATGTTATAAGATGTAGGTCTAATGAAACAAGTTATAACTCAGGACTTGTTTTATTGTTTTTAGATTTCAATATTTTATTTGTTTATTTTCCCCCTCTGTATTGTAACATAGGGCACAGAGGGAAAAAATAAACATTAACTACATTTGAAACAAAAAATACTAAGCAGCAACACAACAGCATCTTAGGAAAAAGAACAAGTACAATATTTTTTGCAAATTTACTGTTATTTTAGAAACAATAAATCAAGAATAAGAATTTTGTACTACTATAACATCAAATAGATGTGAAAAATGTGCTGAGTTAATAAAAGTGTTTTTTATTTATTTATTTTAAAAATAATTAATGTAGTACCATAACTAAATTAGTAACAATTTTATTACTTTAAATTGTAATAATTAACACATTCGAAGTAAATTGTTGTTATGGGATTTTAGATGAAATTTAAGTAATACTGAAAAAGCGTAATTTCAATTAGTCTGTGTCAGAATTTTATTCTATACTGGTTAAGTAAGTTACAAAACATATACATATTATGTGAAGTGATATCTAAATAGAATATAAATGGTTTCTGTTATTTGTTTCGAAGTTTTGCTTATTCATATTTAATTATACAGAGATTAATTTATATGAAATTCCCTCATATATTCAACGTATAACTTTCAATATATGAGAAGATAACTTTTAAGAGAGACAGACATTCATATGTAATCTAAAATATAAATAAGTCATTAATTCAGCAATTAATTATTATTAACTTTACGAAAATATTTAAAAAAGAGTTTATCATAAATGTATCGTTTACTTAACACAAAGAAAAGCAAAAATAGGACCCAGAGGCGACAACCGGGAAACAGATTATTACTTAGGGTGGTCGAGACCAAAAGGTCAAGTAACCGAAGAAGAGGGAGAATGAAAATGAACAAAAACCAACAACCCAATTATAAGAGTGGCATTATCCACACACCGAATCATTCAAATATGCGTGAAATATATCGTTATTTACACGAATATGACTTTGAAAGACAATAAATATCTCTATATACTGTACAAATTTTTCGTTGAATCATGTACTTTTGGATTAAAAAATTGAAAATAAAATGTTAATAATTTATTTAATGTTTACTAATAACTTCTGTTTTAATTTACGTTTAACTATTTCAATATCACATTCATTGCTATTATTTATGAATTTTTCAAAAACCTGAAATATTAAAGTCTTAATTACAAAGCAGATTTAATCAAAACAAAAGTAATATGCGCAAAGAGATAATTTAAAAACAAACTGTAAATTAACAAATTAAAGAAACTGATTATGATTTAATATTATAATATCCAGTATATTTATTATGCATTGTATATAAATTCGTTTGTTTTAAACGGTCTTTACTACGCCTTAAAATTTGATTGATGATGATAGTTTAAGAGCATATTCAACTCAAGATACTAAAAATCCTTCTTAGAAGTATTCTTTATTATTAAAAATCAATATATTTATTCTGGTCATTTTCGTTGTTTTTCTGTTTTATATAACGTAATTTTATCATCAGTCCATTTAATATCAAAATGGTCATTAAATATATTATACATTACTGGTAAAGTCCGTTGGTATCGGAAAACCTAGGTTTGCCAAGACAATCCCCAGATTACCGCTACAATTTAGGCAAAGTACGAAATGACGCTGCTTTTCGCACTTTGACTAAAAGAAATATAGTATAGGCAAACTTAGATATCCGTAAGAAGGTTAGGCAAAGTCGAAAATTGCTTTATTCATTTCGGAGAGTTTACCCAGAAAGATCAGTCATCAGTCACAACCATGCTGTAAGAAATAATGCTATAATTGTGATCACGTGTTTACTTCTTTGTATTCACGGACGTTTGCAATCCTTGTTTGTCAAGAAAATGTTAGGATATTTTATGGTTAAAAAAAAAAAGACTGCACTATTTGAAAAAATATTTTTAACGAATAATTTTTGTCAGAATTTTTCAAACTACAAAGAAATGCTGTTGTTATTTAATTGATTTTGACATATTTTTGTAAAAAGCTTTTTAATAGCTAATTTTCGAATAGATGCTATGATTCTATGCCATTCATAATAAAACAGTAAAAACACCTCTAACTATATTACAGTTATATTTGAAACTAATCTCTTACAAGTAAAAACTTAGGCCTTGTAAGTTAAGAATAAATCGCCAAATGTTTTTTAAAAAAATAATTAATTTAGAGACAAATTGATAAAAATGCGGAATAAATCGTGTTTATTTTATGATTTTGTAGAATTTAAATTGTCGCTCCATTAGGTTTGATTGATTTTTCTCAGCGAACTCCGAAATTAATACAACAATTTAGACTCTGCCTAACCCTCTTGTGGCACACCCAAGTTTTCCTACATTTCTTTTAGTCAAAGCCGAAAACATTTCGTACTTTGCCTAAACTGTTGTTGTAATCTGTGGATTAACTAAAACTTAGATTTGTCTGTCGACTTTGAACTTTGTTCCGGTAACATATACAATATTTATTAATTTATGCATTAGTTTTTAGTTAAAATACTAATGGTTGGATA